TTTCAAATGTCGCAGAAGTGCCCCTAATGGTCATAAATTTGAGTTAAAACCTTTCCAGTCTCTCGATGAAAAAACGCTAAGCTATGCCAGGCTCCAAACTATGGCTCCAAACTATGGCTCCAAACTATGGCTCCAAACTGTGGCTCCAAATTACGGCTCAATGTAGATCAATCAAAAACTCACGAAGGATGGTTCTTCGTTTGGTATTTAGCGTGGCACAGATAAAAAGTCTGAGTCCCTCGCGAGTACTCCAATATTATACAACCTCTTCTCCTGCGTCTCCAGTTAAGCTTCATGTATATGAACTAATTAGGGAGGGGGTGGTTGTACAATAGAGGCCTTGATGTACTTGATGGTTATGATAATGAGATAACAAGTACAATTTTTGTGGTTTCTCTTACCTGGTCTTCGTCAAGGTCTTAGTTCAACTTTGCTGAACTTGAAGTACTTTGCATCCAAAACGAGACTCCTATTCCGCGCCAAGGAAATTACTCGATAAGATTTTGCCCCGAACTGGCATTTCTTTTGAAGTAAGATTGTTGCTTCTTTTTTCTGCTAACCCTTAATTCCTTTTCATTTTCCTTTTTGGTCCCATTCTCCAACGTATAAGCTTAGGCATGCCACAAGCCTTAACCTTGGTTCACAAGTTATTTCCACCATTTTTCTTTTTTGCAGGATACAACAAAGAAGTAAAAGAATAAGCAAAAAGTGTTTCTGAAACGTAAATGTACGCCAATGAAGTTTCAAAGTTGAGCTCCAAAGACTCAGCGCCAAATACTCATAGACCAGCTAGGGCTGAGTGCTGTAGGTAAACATTTACGTAGAACAAATAGGCGAGAGAGATCGTATTTCTGTTGCTTTCACCATCGCAATGAGGCTTCCTTCGTGTTCTGACGCTTTAAAGGTGCTCTTTGCACCAGTTGAACCACTGTTATTAACTGTTATCCCATGAGCTGTTTGTCTTTTTATTAGTATTTTCCGTGTTCGGTACGAAAGAGGAAAAAACGAAAGTATGTTGCATGTCGTCAAAGCAGTGAGAGTTTTCCGCATTCAACCATCCGATCAACGTATGAATCGACCAATGTTAGCGCGTGTTTCACCTCAACTGACAAAACGCGCAAATACAAGGAATAGAGGGGAAAAATATAATCATGTTGAAATGTAATTCAAATGAACTGAACTGTACACCAAACAGGTATCTTAATCAGGGACTATAAAGAGAAGTGAAACATCCTGTTAAAGATAAAAGTGAGCTTGCAAACTAGCCTCAGCCGAAATCATTTCTGCCTGGCCTAGAAACAATCTCAAATCATGTCTCTTGCATGACAAATGTTCCTTGTAAAAAAAAAAAAAGCAGGAATCAATAAAATGCTGTTCCTATGTTTATTTTTATTTTCAATTTTAATTTTTGTTTCTTATGGTTAAAATAACTTATAACTTTTCGCAGCGGTAGTTCGTTCACTGTACCGATGGCCACTTGTGGAATGACTTACTTTTGTTTAATGAGTATAATTCAAAATACTAGAATCCCTATCTTTACTGTCACTTCTCTCTTTGGAATTGTTTTGATTAAACCGAAGAAAGTAAAAATTGAACAGTCACTGCAAAATGAAAAGATGAAAGAATCGGATATGCTCAACTTCCCGAGTTGGAATGGTAATTCGGTAAGGTATCTTGGCTAACTGACCATCGGGCCAGCTTTATTTTCCATAGAAATACAACTTGTCTTAGAATCGAAATGTAAAATAACGTTTGATTGAACTGACTCGTGGCGACCGGCTAAAATCGTTCTTTCCCATTGTTCGTATTCTTGTTCACAACAAGGAAAAGGAATTATCTTTGAGGAGTTGTAAGCTAGCCTCAAAGGTTATGTTTATATGAAAAACCGTCAAATTTCATTAAGACTTTTTTCGCCCTGTGTGTTTTTTGAATGAGCGGAATATCTGTTTAAAGCACAGCTCGATGTTTAGATAGATGAGTCCAGGAGTTTTTCATCGCTTTTGAACGTTTACGACTCTCTTAACTGTTACCTTTAAATACAAAGATTTATACATCATCTTGTCGCCATAAATATTGGAAAGAAAAAAAGATTGCTATTAATATAATGACACATGTCTTAAAATACATTGACGGATTGGTATGTGAAGTATAATGACTGCGGAGACAGAATTGTTCCTTCCCTACCAAAACAATTTAATGTAGAAAATAGTAGGAGTGCACCAAGAGTTTCAATTTTAAGATAAAAAATTAAGGCAATGGAGTTTCCGATTTAGAGGGACTTGCCCTTTGTGAAATTGTGCTTATATTTGAGAGAAAGTAATATTGATCACATACATTTATTACCAATCTTTCGTTGTTAAAAATAAACGGAATTGCATGTCTAAATCATGCCTAATTTTTCTTTACAGAATGAACGTTTAACGATGTATGCCTTTGTGTATATGACAAACGTAATTTTTTTTATGTTCCTTATTCAGTTACGTAAGTGAGTTGAAGTAAATCACATTTCTAAATTGTCGCCCTGGCCTTTATTTGAGCGATTGCTTTTACCCTTTGCAATTCGTATTGGAACATTTCGTGTGCTCGGATTTTTGGCGGTTTTTCATGTCCAGGAGATCTTCATTGTTGAGAGTGTTGTGAGAAGGGAACAATGAGAAAAATACCATCACTGAGTGGTGCATGGCGAATGCAATAGCTTTAAGTGAAGTGACAGATTGAGAATGTTAAAATTATCTTTTCAAACAAGACATACTATCATAGAACCCTCTCAAAGGAGTGCTTAAAAATAGTCTGCGAACAACTTATTATCTGAGATCTTATAGAAAGGTTGCTGCTTAGACCGTTGGTTATTACATCTTCCAAAAGCTCTAAAAGGATTGGGAAACATGCAAAGCTAATCAAGATGGTAATGACTCTAAATCCATCGCAATATCCATGAAGCAGTCTCAACCATTTGCTCCAATCTCATTTGCATAGAAAATTACTCTGTTCGTTCTTTTCTTCGTAAAAACCTGCCTGAACAGGAACCCTTTGACGTTGCAAATATGTAAAGCACAGCTACACATGCATGGCCGAATGACTCGTATTCAAATAAGTTACTGTGAAAATTTCCAGCTCGCATGCTGTCGTTTTTTACTCTGGAGCAAAGTCAAATAATATGGATGGTGTCCATTTATTACAACCTAAAAGTAGAAACTCTCTGCCACGCTTTTCAACTTTCGTGCCATTCCCAACATCGTCGGCGCTGTCGGCATTCTCTTTGAAGTGAGTTTTTGGGCTCTCTCTTTGTTTGGCTTTTGTGTGGACTTTAAACCAATTTTAATAATTTGTTCTGGTTGGGTTGTAAAAGGGAAAGTGGTTTTAAACACGTTGATATGCTTGATCACCTCGGCTCAAGAATATTGTTTTCTCTAAAAAGCAGCTCCGCAATACTCTCTTTTTAAGCAAGTTTTGTTTGGCACTCCGCTTAAGGGTGCATCTGTACACGCGCATCGGACATCACAGACTAAAGATATCTCTATAAATGGATAGTTTAAAACAATTTATTATGACGTGCTGTCAGCCCTCTCCAGCTATGAAAACAGACTGTAATTAAACACAGTTTCAATGATTATGTTGGAAATTTAAATGGTGTAGTCTTTTATATCAAATCAAACAGCTAATTACTTGAAATTCAATTAAAGCGTAGATATTGACTTCCAAATGTGTTAACAAGCTCTATCTTGTCGTTCGCTTCATCATTAATGGTCAAATAACATGAAAAAAAAATTAATTGAAGTAGAAAATAGTCCTGGTGATAACAAATCTTTTCTGACCTCCTGTTTATTTTGGTACAGCCCGTGGCGATAAATTGTTTTAAAGCGGAAAAAAGAAAAAGGCTCTTTCCATTTAGAGACACTGGTACAAATTGACTTGTTTTTCTAGAAAGCGGAACTTTTTCGTGCCCCCAAGCAAGCTGTATAAAATAGAACAATGAGAAATGTTATTTTTACATGGTGTGACGAATACTGATTTATTTCACTTTATCGGTCACTTAAAGATTATACCTTGGAACATATTTTGCTTTGGAGATAAGGAAACCTTTAACCTTGGAAGTGTTATAGACTTTTATCCATAAATATGGAATTTTCCTTCAATCTTTAGGATAGTCTAAGCAAGAACACAGTTCGTGATGATCCAAACTTCTGCAATGTGTATAATTTTGTAATCAAAGCTCTTTGTAAAAGAGCAATTTCACGTGTCAAAGACAATTTGAATACTAAGGAATTTCTGTAAATACATTAATACCTGCATTGAAATCTGCTAATGTAGAGCTCTTTAGTGAATTAAAATATAGTCCCTTATAGATGTTAGACTCTTCTAGACTTTTGGTGGAGCTTCAGTTTCACCAGAACTATTTTTCTCAAATACGTAAATCCTGACATGTGTTACAGTTTCTGTTATCACGATTTCCGTCTCTCTTTCCTCTTTTCTATCGTAATGAGCAAGGCTAGCCGAAAACATGAACAAAAAATGTATATGTAGTTCGACGTGTCTCCTCGCGAAAGCAATAACATAAGAAAACCATTTCTATTGACGGCCTTCTCAGTTTAGACTTCACGGTTTATTTATATATATTTGTTGTGAGATGTAACTATGGTAGATAAAACGGAGTTGCGTGTAATTTATGTGAGCGTGGAAGTTATCACTATATTAATATTGAACGTGCGTTAATTATTATAATTATTATAATTTGTTTTTTATTATTATTATAATTATTATAACTATTTATAATTATAAGTTGTCACGCACTCTCTCAATGGTTTCTAGAATCTAATTGAGTGGAATGACAACAAATCATTGAAATACTGTACTAATTATCATAAATTTGAACTGATTAGTAATATCAAACGCTGAAACTCAATATCATGAGATTAAGTAAAGAGCAAAGCTGACGTCATATTTTGGTAAATAGAGTACATAAATCTGTTTTTAACATGCCTCTGGCTGTTTATTTTCAGTTCCTGTCTCCTGATACGAGCCAAGTTAAAGAACTTACCAGTATTTTATACGGTATTATTTGCGGTCAAGCCATGTTAGTGATTCCCTACAAATACATAAAGGCACAGTCTGGTCCCTACGGGTTTCCAAGCGACCAAAACATAACAAAGTCCTTTCAACAATTAGTAGTAAACATTGGGTCAGTTTCGAGTTTGTTTTTCGATTGCTCAAAATATCGAAATATCGTAAATGTTTTTGAAAAAGAAGTTATAGTAAAAAAGAAAGGAGTAAGAAACGAAATGGCGCAATTTGGTCCAAAGAGATTTTCAAGAAAAAGAAGTGTTGTTACTATGTAGAAGTGAGCAAAGTATCGACTTTGTGCCATTGTTTAGTTCTATAATTTTCAGACTTGTTTTTGAATAACGAGTCTTTAACAAAAGAAGTATCGAGCTTGTCATGCATCATTAGACACCCACGTCAACGTGGGAAAGTACGTTTCGCTCCCTAACAACATTTAGATCACTTTTCAGTCAAAACAGGAGTATGTATTTTAATTGCAGATACTAGAAAAATCTTATAACAAAAGTCTTTTTCGACTGAAAAAATCCAGTGGGCTTGCTCAGGCATGGTAGCGTTCACTCCTAGTTACTGTTTCTCGAACCATCTTCCGTCTCAAACTTTCTTTTTTTTTTTTTAAGAAGTTTGGAGATTTTTTGTAAATCAGGGAAAACATCTTTCATATTATGTTTGTATATATTTAGGTTATGGAAATAGTGATCTGCAAAGTGTATTTGATAAGCGTAATAACAGTAATTTTACGAGTTGGACTTGTTTCTTGTGTTTGTTTAGCGCATCTGGAGAGCGTTGTTAATGCTACCAGCACATAGCTGATTTGATACGTTGATCATAATTTCGATACAGATGGGCATATTTAAATACAGCGTAGTGAGTGATTTGGGAAACTTCCTCTGTTAGAACAAAATCTTGAAACCACCACCAAGCTCTGAATCTTCCAGTTCTCAGAGAATGACGCTGAGATGTTATGCTTAGGAGATTCAGTTGAGCTTTGATAAGTCATCTTACCATCTTGTACACAGTTGAGGAACTAAGGAGGGTCTCTACTTCAGACGTAATTCGAACAACAGACTGAGGAACGTTGGTGGGCAAAAGCAACTTAAACAGATGTCAACAAACGAGTATTTATTTCAATTTTTTGTCTTCTCTCGGTTGTGTTTGATGCCACAAGTTTAATCATGGCTTAAACCCGTCTCAAAATTAGCCCATTTATCCTAACAAGACTACTCTCCAGGCAGCTTTCTCTATTTTTAAGAGCGTTATTAAATGATACGGTTCACTTTCATTCCAACGATAACTTATTCGTCGCTGAGTAGGGAGTCGATGAGACCGTCATACGCATCTAAAAGTTGCAAAAAGAAAGTCGATAAAAAATGTACAGGTTACAGTATTGAAACATTCGCGGCGAAACTAAGTGTACCATTATGTGTGTCTTTTGTCCTGGCTTACAAATATTTTTACTACCTTTGCATCCACCATTACCTTCATTGAAATGACGCATCTTTCCGGGGCGCACTTTTACCACTCCTCAAGGTATTCCTTGCTCCAGGATGTCCCCTAAGCTATGGTCAACAGCTCGGAAGTGTTGGCTTATGAACTATCAATATTGTATAATGTGGCTATTTTGAACGACATAGGGCCCTTATCAGATATTTCCCAAGGTTACCAGTAGTTTTAGCTTAATCTCTTCGAACAGACCCAAAGTTTAGCTCTTAGATGAAACAGATACCGGTACACGTATCAATCACATACGAACTGTATCAGCTACCTACCTTTCATTGGCTCCTCGCCTGACCCCTGAGGGGAAGTAGGAGAACGAGATGGCTTTGGTGCAGGTATCGAGGGAGGAATCAAGGAATTGATCAGAGGCGGAACCGGAGAAACTTTAAGTGGAGGACTGGGAGGGGGGTTCGTTGGAGGATTTGGAGGGGGATTCGGACGCTCATGACCATGAAAACACCAGGGAACGCCACGCACTGTGTGGTCAAAGCAACAGCCTCTGTCGTTTTCACACTTTTCACGCTGTATTCCGGGGTATCCACAATCCCTTCTTTTGGGCGGAGGAATGCCATAACATTTGCTGCCTATAAAATATCACCTTTTATTATATGGCTGTGTCTCACAAGGACTGGGAACTACCGAATTCACGAATTTGATTGGCTGAAATCAATATTGAAAGCGGTGTAAATTTTGCCATCTAGAGCGGCATCTAGACCGGTCTAGAAAAAAAGGTAGAAAGAATATAAAAAATTGGCATATAAGACACAGCCATATAATTAATAAACTTCTTATTAACCGAGCTAGGTCGGTCTGTATGAGAGAATCTTGACCTCGGTCGCTGGTACAGACCTGACTGCGTTCGGTCTGTACTGGCGACCTCGCTCAAGATTCTCCCATACAGACCTCCCGCTCGGTTAATAAGAACTAAATTTTTAATTTGTATTCAAATTCTACATAAAACTAGCCTTGCATCATGGACTGATTTATCTAATTTCATTTTCTAATTTCACTTGGTCTTTTTCCTTAAGGTACGACTGTAATAGTATTGTTGCTCTCATCTACCTTACCATTATCCTTAAAATTATTAATATCATTGCTATTAACAATTTGAAAATAACATGCATGGCCTGACTCTGATGAGTTTATTTCTGGGAAAAATAGAAGATGAAATGATGGGGGCTTGAGTATACTTACCCCTAGGATAAAAGCAGTATTTTGATTCCCCGTTATATCCTCGATCGTCATAGCAGCACCCTCTTCTTTGGCAAACTACTTTAGTTATTCCAATCCATCCACAGTCAGCGCGTTTGTGGACAGCAATGGACTGACATTTGTTTTCTACCAAAAAGGAAAAATGCGTATTTTTTGTTTTGTTTGTTATCTACGACGGTAGTTTTGATTCAACAACTTGAAATTGAGAGTGTTTTTTTATATACTTTGTAAAGTTTAGGCTACCTCCAGATCTGTCTCGCTACGTAGTTGATTTTACGAGAAAAGTACACGTACAAAACTTTTCAACTGAACAGTCAAATGCCTCGCATTTCTTTGTGACAGCATTTTTGAACTTTGGCAAGATTACATCGTAATTGAAAAACCTTTAAGATTCTCAGTCCTGTTTCGGTCCGATTTATCTTAGTGGACAAATGTTAAGAATTCTAATGAAATGTGTCAGTCAGCCGTATATCTCGTCATGTAAAAAAGTAGTCTCAACTTACCGAGATCTTTTTTACTTTTGAAACACCAGGGCACGCCTTGAACGCTGTTGTCATAGCAACAGTGTCGGTCAACGCACTGCTGTTTTGTAATGCCATAATAACCGCAGTCTAACCGTTTATGAGGGTCGATGCCATCGCAGTGGCCATCTTTAAAGGAACGATACAGGCAAAGTAAACCAAGGTCAAGATCAAAATCAGCTTTATTTAAATACGGTAGCCTATCCTCAACATCATAGAAAGCTGGTTACCAGAAGGGGCGTGAACTAAGTATAAAAGTTAAAAACTACTTAAAATTTACATAAGAAAAATAAAAGATAAACAATGTATGCATAAAGTGATTACCTAAACTTAATTGCATTAAATATAACCCTAAGAAATAATTTAATATATCACATTTGGTCTATAGACTGAAATTAGCTAATCAAACGTAGCCAGAGTTTCACAACTACGTACAGGTATATTTCATTCGGTAAGGAATTCCAGATCATAGCACCATTATAGCTGAAACTCTTCTTTTAAACTTCCGTCTTGGACAATGGAATGGTCATAATTTGGATATATAGACAAAGTTCAAATGGTAAATTGGCCACCGTACCGATTACAAAAGCTGACGTTTCGCTCCGACGAAGGGCTAACGCTCGAAACGTCAGCTTTTGTAATCGTTACGGTGGCTAATTTACCATTTCAACTTTGTCCATATATCCAAATTATTTCGTTACTCCTACCGACGCAGCCCCAAACAGTTTCTTTCGAAACTATCAGCCTTTATTCAATGGAATGGTCAGCTTACTATCAGCGACCCTTAAATGATAATTGTTGGCCGAGCACGAGTCCCTGAAGGTATTCGAAAGCTTGGCAGGTGCTAAGTCGTGTAGAACCTTTAACATTTGTCTATTGTTGTGTGACACAATATTCATGAAGGCTAGGAGGGTTCTTTTTAGTTCTTCAAGTCTAGAAAAATCGATGAAAATAACAATCCACCTCGTTTATTCTAGTGTGTTTTCGTAAATGTGTTATTTTTTAGCGATTTCATGGGAGCGTTTGGGTTCTAAAAACAGCAGATGGGTCCTTTAAGTAAATTAATTCACGTAGCACACTGTTATAAAATTGCAGTTTACATTTTCTAATTTTAGAATGTCTGCTGCTTAAGTTATATTAATAAGCACACTTTCTAAATGGATAATAAGTTTAGATTAAAATGTTTTTCCTTACATCTGTCCTAACTTTTATTTATTTCTTTTTTTTTTTCCTTTCTCTTCTTTCTCATTACTGAGTGATAGACAAAACAATAGGTCGCTCAGAGCGAAGAGTCAGCTTTTGGTGGCAGTATTTCTCTAGGTGGGCGTGGAGTTTTTTCTCTCCTAAATGTTGTTTTATAGTATCATTAAGTATGTAAAAGCTTCAATTGCTCATTTCAGGCGTCAACCAAAGGTTGTAGACGTAAATTTCGTAAATAAATGAGTCCGCCTTTTGTGCACTGTTGGGTGGAATTTTCGAAAATGTGCATATTATGTTGGCCAGCTGTGCTAGAAGCTCAGCTTTTATATTTCCATACTCCTCTAGCCTATTTTATTTAGTCTGAATAAAAATATCATGGGGAAGAAGTTTGCGCTTAGCCAATATTAAAAGTTGCATATTTACGGTCATGGCGGCAAAAGAAAAGTAGATTTCAAACTAAAAAAATAATTTCCAGAGTAAAAAAAAAGAAAAAGAAAGACTGAAGAGATTATACGATTTGTTCTCACAAAGTATTAATCTAAATATGCGAATAAAAAACAAGGGTTTTGAAAAAAGACCAGTAATTCAATTTGTGCCATTTTTGACGATCGGCGCTGTTTAAGAACGAGCATTTGAGCGCTGAAGCGATTTTCGCTCGGAAGAAAATTGTTTACAATATTTCAAAAACCAAGGTGGTTTCGATGACTGTTAGACTAAGACAGATTAATGAGCAAAGCTTGAAAGAAATCGATTTTTTGAACCGAAAGGTACCGGACCACTTTTAGTAGTATGTTTTAGGCAATCTGGCAAATCCTAAATATATACCCAAAAGAAAAATGGGCCCAGAATCGAACCCTGAAGGATTCCACAGGATATTGTTCCGTAAGATCAGATTGTTTACCATTCACCTGACATGTTTGCTTCCGATCCGCCACGTAGGAAGCAAGAAGATTAAATACATCCTCTCTAATAGCACAAGCCTTAAGTTTGCCAAGCAAGAGCATGTAATTACTGTATCAAAGGCCTTTTGTATGTCAAGAAAAATTACTAGGTTACAAAGGGCGCAATCCATGTTGCAGAACCATTCATTTGAACGGTTAAGCAAAGTTGAAACGGTGGAATGAGAGCGTTGAAAACCAAATTGATGCTCTGATAACAAATTCTGGGCATCTGCATATTCAACCAGCTGTTTGTACAATGTCCTTTCAAAGACTTTACTTACTACTGGAAGAATCGAAATTGGTCGATAATTCTCCAACACGTTACGCGGACCTTTCTAATGAAGGGCGTTCACTCGAGCCACCTTCCACTCAGTTGGAAAAACATGCAAGACACTGATTGCCCTGCTGAAAATCTACATTAGGGATTCTGAAACAACTGGTGCAGCCAACCTCTAAACTTTTGCTGATATTTTATCGATCCCAGTAGCCTTGCAGACAGATAAAGAATTGATTAATTAATAGACCTGAGATGAACTTACAGGCTGAAAGTAAAAACTACTGTCGACCTTATATGATAAGTGAAGATAACACATTTTTTCTTTAAGCTCTTTTTTTTATCTCTAGATCTGTATCAACACGCGCTGTGATTCATTATTTTTTGAGTCGTTCTCTACTGTACGTCTCCTTGGCTTTTAAGCTGGCTGTGTTTCTAATTTATTATGTATTTTCTTGCCAAATTTCTCTCAACTTTCTCGGGAAAATAGAAGTGAAACGAAAATCTGGGTCTATTTGGAATTGACTCCTTTTGCTTCCATCGCTTGTGAGCCATTTGGCGCGATTAGAAATCGCTACCCCGTCAGAAATGGGGGCGGACCACAAATCGAAAGGGAACAAAACTCCGTCCAAACCATGCAGTTCGGACCTGGAACTCGGTTTGCAAGTGTAGTATGTTAACAAACTGCGCATGAAAGTCAACTGTCTGTAGTGAATGATAATTTTAAAATGTTTGAGTCTATCATAGTGAAGAGTATGGCGTCCCGAAAGTAATGGAGACGGTAAAATTTCTCAGAACTGTTACGAATTTGACAAATGATGATTTACCTACTATCTAAAAAAAATGCTTACCTGCCAAACTGTACCCTGATTTGAAAAAAAAAAAAAAAAACAGTTAATATAACAAAAGCCAGTTGCACTGGTGAAAATGAGATTAAGTTCTACTGAAACTGGAACAAGTCAAAGAAAATAGGTTTATAATTCCTAGTTCGCTCAGTAATTTGGATCCTGGGATCCAACGTAGGTCCTTTTTACAAAGTACGATGAATGGGAAATAAATTGATATTGCATGCAACGAGAAAAACGCCTTAGCATCAGCCTCAATCTGTAATGAGCTGACAACAGTATTTACAGCCTTTTAACAACAAAGCGCTCCCGCCCCCTTTTTGCCTTAATCTCACGCTCTTTCATGAGGAAGACGTCTTCTTTAATTTATTTTTTGTGCAATTTCAGTTCTTTATATTTGAATCAGAAGAGATGGAAATGTGATTAAAATTAAGCGACAAAAGTCATCACAAGCTGAAACACTCGGAATGTATTCGTAACTTCTAAACAAAGATTTTAAATGATTTGTCGTAGAGGTTGGACAGTTGGGATCTCACAGTTGGACGCATGTATGACACTGAGAACCCTTAGAAAAACTAATCCATGTTCATGTGGGACAAGAGGCGTCAAAAGCATTCTATGTGGAGATTGTAGAATGAAACTGTAACTATCGAATCTACTCATTAGTTTTTTATGTCAGAGAAAAGACGAGGAAGAAAAGAAAGAAGAAAGTAGAGGAAGGGATGTTAATTTTTGCAGGCTTACCTATTTCAAAAAGGACCAAAAGAAGGACCGTGAATGACATTTTGATTTCCACGTTCCCGCTAGTGAGCTGACCTCCTATGGTTCCTGAATATTACGTGTTAGACTTTAGGTAAAATATTTATACCAGGTGTAATTACAATTTGGTATTCATTTTCAAATCGAATTCAATCTCACCTTGTTTACTGAGGCTTGTTTACGGAAGGTTTTATAAATAAATTTAAACCTATCTAGACAAGAATTTTCAGAGAAATCACCCTAATGTGATGATCTACATATACCTGCAAGTTTCCATACTCTCAAAAAAAGAACGGTAAGTTTTCGCCTCCTTTTCGTTTAAATCTCAAGCTCTCTCATGGGGAAGACGTTTACTTTCTTTCAATCACTTCAAATGTTACGTTTAATTTTTCAGGCATTTCAGTCACGGAAGGTTGTTGTGCTAATTAGGATAATTCAATAACATGTGATTCCCCGGGTTTCTTAGTGTTGTTTAAAGTAAAAGGTGAGCACAAATGTATATTAGGACTTCGAAATAAACATTGTAGTAGCTAATAGCTCTAAAGAACGCTAATGTTCTTCAACGGAACCCACTCCTACTTTGCTACATTAGATTGTGTTTTGTTATTTTAGCTGAGAAGCAGCTGGGTAAACGACCGTGACGACTCAAATTGGGTGTGGACTGTCTTATTAGTGAAACTGGAAATTTGAGGAAGACCGTAACTTTGGTCTTAGATATAGAAAGTAAAGTTGTGAGAAGAAATGAATAAATTCTATATGTCTCCAGGAAGTTTGCTATTTGATGCTCTGAAACTTTTCTAAATGGCGATTGCACAGGTAACTGCTACTACTTACGGGGATTTTTGTGGACAGAAAAACATTTAGCATACGCTGTGGTGAGAGAAAACAGTTCATGGTGTTTGCCTTAAATAATGTCTAAACTGCATGTAGAACACTTTGCTTTACTATTTGTTGGTTCTGTTTTTGGAAGTAATTTTAGGTTCAAAATTTTCCATAGTCTATCTTGCGACGTAATGAGTGTGCGACAGGTAATGCGGCTGAATTGAGAAACCAACGCGCTGTTTGACTCACGGCAATCTTTAGTAGAATTTATTTAGCTAAAGAAAAAGTTCCGCAGTTGATAGGGAACCAAAGTTTTTAAATATTACAGGTATGCATTTTATGTATACAGACTTAATATGTCAAACATGCGTTAACAGCTATTACGGTAGAAACGAAATTCTAGGAAAATGTCGTACACTCTTTTGCTGATGAACCTGCTTCACAGTTGTATGACAGCAAAGCAACTATTTGAAAGCCATATTTGAACTCGCCACTACACTGCTGCTCACAGAGAAGTAAATCAACGCATATGCTGCATCATATGGATGTCGATCAGATGCGAAGCTCTCGGAGCGTAGACTGGATGCAAAAAGTTAGTTAAGATTGACTCTAAGGCTATAGTTTACATTAAAGGAAAAACTGAAAATTAACTGTATGCCCAAGTAGCCGACTGACTGAGGATTGATCAGTCCTAGCTAAGCCCCAGAGGCTTCTGCAGATCCTTCCTGAGTTTCTACTTTAGGTGGCGCCACAGTCACTGGTCCAGTGCCCTTGAAGCACCAGGGTACATCCTGTACAGTGTGATCAAAGCAGCAACCCCTTTCGTCCTCACATTCCTCACGCTGAATACCAAGGTATCCACAGTCTTCCCGTTTCTTTGGCTCAATTCCATAGCATTTGTTGTCTTAAAAAGAAGTAAAGCGAAATCAACGAAGATGAGTGGTGGGGCGGTAAAATTTACGATGCAATATCGAAGAGAAAAGAAATTTTACTCTGCAAGGGTCGATTGCAAGATGATAAAGTTGTCGTGGTTTAGCATAGATAACCCACTACGATGAGAAAAGCCCGAGTGATTTACAAAACTGCTGCTTCGTAATTGTTTCATCAATGTTACTTGCAAGGTCGAACTCGAAACCGTTTCCACACAGATCTCTCTAGGCACTGCATATTCCACCACTGTATAAATGACGTATTGCATGTGAACCGAGAATTATAATATGGCTTAACTCGCCAATGCATACCCTTTATCTCAGATAGTAGAACATGTGGCCGCCCGTTGGGGTTAAAATATTCACGACTGAGGTGCCAGATTTTTCCCTTGTCCCAGATTAACTACAGTATTCAACTGTTTTATTTACCTGTTGGGTAGAAACACCACTTTGTTTTTGGCGTAGTGTCGTCGTAGCAGCAGCCCCTGGCCTCGCAAGTAGCCTCGTCGATGCCGTACCATCCACAATCATTGCGATCCTCAGCTTCGACATCGCATGTGTCGCCTATTTTATGAATGAACTTTACTGAAATTTGTCTCAGGGTTTGGATGAGTCATATATCAAGTTCATACTAAATATAGATTCTTTAAAAGATTACACGCTATGGAAATACGAGTAAATTGTTTACGTAACACTATCTACACTAAAATAGGAACGTAACGAGGATCAATCAATGAGAATTTTAGTGAAGGAAAGTTGCTCATTACATTACGATATCAAGGCTTATGCTTAGTATCTGCGAATTAAGTCCGTAGACCAGGTGCAAATAGTTATTTTCATCTCATCATCATCATATTTTACAACTCACTTCATGAGTAGTATTTATACTAATTCAACAGAATGGTTGAGTAAGGAGACCTCCAACAAACCACCAGGCTTATAGGGGAGGCCACCTCTGCTGCAAATATGTTTATAATTAAGTTGTGGATGCAGATTGGCCAATTCAGAGTCATTTCACGTAAAATTCAATCATCTTTTTTTGAATGTAGAGAAGCAGGTCGAACTAGTAATCGTTATTGGAAGAGAAATTTCAAATTTCAAGACCTTTCCCTGTTTGTTTTGTCATTATTGTTATTAATTCTTGCTCTTTTCATTTCCAACAAAAACCTTACCAGGAGTGTCAGATTCCATCTCTCGTTCGGTTTGTGACTCACTTCCCTTGAAGCACCATGCAACATTTGGCACAGTGTGATCAAAGCAACAACCTTTTTCGTTTTCACATTCGTCTCGTTGTATCCCAATGTAACCACAGTCTTCTCTTTCCTCTGGGTCAATACCATAGCATTTGTTATCTGAAACATTGCGATAAAAAATTTAACCTATGAGTGTAATATTTAAAAAAAACGAAGTTTTAAAAACACATCTTTGTCATTTTGCATGACACATTTTCTGTTTGATTTAGAATGTGTACCATGCTTTCGCTGTAGGTGACGACTGTTTGGAAGAAAACAAAGAACGTTTGATTACGTTTTAACTGTTCGCGTTGGACTCTAGGAGTATGCACACTATTTGTGTCGCTTTTTTCTGGAAGCTGTACGATTTCAGGGTTTGGACGGCATATCAGACTGGCTGACCACACGCCTCGATTTTGTGGGAGGTTGACCTGCTTAGGTCTGGATTTCATGGGAACATATGCAGATAAATTGTAACCATTTGATCGAACCGAATAAGTTACTACAAATCAGAACTGTGAGCCACACCACCATTTGGTGTTCGGAAACTCAATAATACAATAGATTTAGTCTGGGTAAACTAGATCGAACCTACTTTACTTTTCATGATTATTACTGGTTAATAAGTTACTAATCGATGTTTTAATGATTACTAACCGGTTGGATAGAAACACCACGCTACATCCGAAACTGTTTCATCATAGCAACAACCTCTGCCTTCGCAGGTGGCTTCATCGATGCCGACCCATCCGCAATCGTTGCGATCCTCTGCCTCAACACTGCACACTCCTCCTGCATAAAGAAAGGAAAATTCCTTAAATCCCCTACAAAACTCTTTCCTTCCTGGGGTTGACCAAGACAAAATTTATCCTTTTTCAATATCAAGCACACTCAGTGATGAGAACACCAGAAACATATCAACTAGAGGATTATATTTTGATCCAACGCCAAATTCTTAAAACCGAAACTATTTGCAATGTATGAGGAGAATTGCTAATTGAAGTTATCTAAGGCACTTCAGCAATGGATCTTAAGACGGTTTTAAGAACTCTCTTTCCAAATGTCACGCTGGTAAGACGGTGAAACTTTTTATCAGAAAGGGCATTTTCAATGGACCTTTATTCTGTTCCATAAAATTTGAATTTAACGTGGATGATATCCTAGTTATATGATCACTCATGTTTCTTGGGTTTTGGTTTTGACCTTCCTTTCCCCTAAACATAAAAGACACACCTGTACCAGTTCTTTTCACGTGCACAGGTCGTGCTCTATATACTCTAATTTCCCCTATATTAATAGCATACTACTATTCGCTTAATCTCGAAACTTACTCAGTGAGATGTATTTAAAATGCAACTCGACAACGTTAAATAGATAAAGGTAAAATTACCTTCTGAAGGCTCCTCTGCAGATAAAGAAAGACAGAAATCAGCAAAAAACGATTGTACCCCAAAATTATAGATAATTACATAACACCCATTTCCTTTCCCTTTAGCGATAAATCATCAGCCCGTTTGAGACATTTGCCAGTTTGTTAAGACAATATATTCGTTGGTAAAAAAAATAAAACGGTTAAAATTAGCAAATTTTATTTAAAACTAGGTTACTTTTTAAAATTCAACCCTAACTGTGTTCCAGTTGTAAGATTATTCGCGCCTCTCAACTTTCCAGTTTGGATTTTCTTCCTATGCAGCAATTCGTTCAAATATGTAAGTCACACCTGAGCTACTCTTCTATCAACTCTTAAGTATGGTGGTGTACGCATAATCTAGAAATGTTTATTCAGTTTGATAATTATACAGAAAAGACAACTCAACAATTTAAAATGATCCAGCGTAGGTTGATCAACTTATAATTACCTGCAGAAGACTCCTCTGTAAAAAGATGAAGAAAGGAAATTAGTAACAGAAGATTATAAAATGACAACATAATATAACAAATATGCTTTCAAAAAAAAATTGTGGTCAATATTTCACAAGAAAACGAACTTACCAAGGGTATGAAACTTAGAAGCATAAGTTCGAATTGTTTTGTAGACGTCTTCACAATCGAATTGTTAAATAAATTTCTTTCTAATAGGGATCTTACCCTATTTTGTTTTTCGAACAGTTACATCACAGCAATCCTAGAGAAATTTATTAGGTGAATAGCCATTTTGTCTACTTGTTGAACAAGCAAGATTGATTTTTTTTCTACCCCATCATGTTATTGACCAATCAGGTTGTATCTTACCAAGAATTACACATGTGAGGAATATATTCAGATCTCGCCGTAGAAAATGTTTCATTTGAGAAAGTGTTAAGGCAAACATGTTTAGCAATCATTCCCCGAATACTAAGCCACCTTACATGATACCTACCAGACTCCTCAGGTGGAGGGCCTTCGGGATCTTCGAATTCTTCGGGATCTTCGAATTCCTCGGGATCTTTGAATTCTCCCGGATCTTCCAGTTCCTCGAGCTCTTCGGATTCCATGAGCTTAGGCTCGTCGAGTTTGTTGTACCGGTTCAAGGACGTGTGACGGCCATGGATAATCGGAGCCAAGGCAAGTAAGGTGAAAAGAAAGACAATCCTGGTTTTCATTGTCACGGTTTTACCTGAGGAACAAGTATCGTAAGGCGGCCAACATAACAGGCAGATCCTAATTGTTAAACTCGAATTTCGTTGTGTGTCTATTTTTAACCTCGTTCTTTGGTGTTTTGGAAGGGATTCGTAAAGATCACCTCTTGATAACGTGCATTTTGGAGATATTCCCTTAAGGCAATTAAATCAGCAGTTACAAAATTGAAATCTAAGAATTTAATTTACTTTTCTATTCCATCACTGTATAGGTAAATGTGTTTCTGGAAGTGAGATCAGTCAGTTGAATTTATGAAATCAAGGCTTTTGATCACTAAGTTTTAGCCTCTATGCAATTGGTAAAGCAAGAGAAGCATGCAATATTAGAATAGAAAACAGAAAAGAAGTTCAAGTTAAGTAATGTTTCCAACGAGGTCAGTCACAGTTCGTACAATGTCTCAAAAACAGTAGCCGTGAAAGTGTGACTTTCCTCATAGATGGGGGAGGGAAGGGAAAGAGTTGGGGCTGAGTGGGTGGGGATAAATGGTGTAGATGCAGTTACAAATGATGAACCGTAATATGACAATGTGTAAGGAAAACGACACTTTTTTATTTCCAAAGAGGTATTTTTAACAACTTACTCTTATCCTAATGTTCCGTAAGTTGGCATTATTTAAGATGGCTCTACTAGGTCGCTATGGTCGTTTGGTAGTTAAACCTTTCTTGATTGTTATTGAGTCAAAAACTATTTATGACCTCTAGTATAATGATCCGATTCACTGATTTGTAACGTTTTCATTCAAATACCTCTGTAAAGATATAAAGAGAAATCTTGGCACCAAACCTTGATACGATGTCGAATAGAGAAGGATCCGTCTTCACTTTGTACGATTGGTTATCAGAGCACATTTCAAACATTTATTGCACAATTCATGTCAAGTCGCAGTGCTGAATTATTTATCTATGCTAATATTTTTCTAGTATCCGAAGGAGGGTGGAGAGGGGAGTGCATGCCGGTTTAAAAATAAGGGCCCCCTTATTTGTCCGTGGAATGTTAATACCAAGCGGATGGTAGAAAGACACGCAATTCTCAGTTCAAATTCATTTGCCTCGATCTGAAATGCCTTTGGAGAGTCAAGTAAATATGTTCATAGACATTACGTTCACGTGAAAACTTAAGGGTCGATTGGTTAAAGTAATGTGACTCTTTGATAAGAGGCAAGTTAGGCGCGCAAACAAATTATGCTGATTGAAAGTAATTGATCCATGAACTCAGCGTCCTTTTGAAATCTCGAAGCGTATTTTTCTTGTGCCGTATCTTAAAATGATAGCAAATCTGTATTCTATGTATTAATTTACAATGTTCTTGTAAAAAGTTTTCCGCTTAGATGAGGAGTATTACGATAGCAGGTGTAGTTTATTGGGAGAGTTACTCTTTTCAATTGTGTTTGTTCTCGACACCTCAATGTTTGAGCGGACGCCGCCTTTTCAGCACAAAGTGCGAAGAGTAGAAAATGCATTTTGAGTCCTTTCATTCCGCTCGTCGGGAAAAAATCTTACATGGGTAATTCATACTGTTCACATTAACATTAGAAGTAAGAAAAAGGTACCTCACTTTTGGTCTATTCATGAATTTGCATCAGCGACTTTCTAATCGCACCGTTTAGAAAGTTATAGAAATTCTGTATCGAGAGAAGTACATTTTGCACGACTCTGTACCTGGATCTCTTCTCCTGTGCACAGTTGTTATCTGTGGTGTATAAATTTGAGCGGTTTGAATATTTTCGGTGTCCTTCAGAGAACGCTGAATGTGATAACTTGTAATAATTGTGATGCATATAGGCCAGATACTCCGCAGGACACTAACGTCTGTTGTTTGTTAGAATCTTCAGCTTACCTGTAGGTGATGCTTGAGGAAAGATCGACAGGAAAGCTTCGAACTGCAGATTTCTTGATGCTTCGTGCAACGACGCAGTGAACGAGTGAAGCGAATTAATTTGCGCGCACTCCTAAATGAACATGTCATGCATTGAATAATACTTTGTTTCGCTCTGTTGGCAAGAGTACCATATAACCCATACATAATTATGCATTCAGTCTTTGTTCAATTAAAACAATAGCGACAACAATAGAACTCCGCAGAGACTAGTAGTCTTTGTTTTGAAAATTTGGATTTTTTTCTAAGTCTTTTTTGAAACAGGGTAAATTTGGCGCGTTTTGGCTTTGCAAAACAGAAAACTCAAGTAGTTTTCCAGAGGTTTTTAATTTTGAAATATAACTGAATGTTCAGTTTCGCTTTGAAAGCGTAAAATTGGCCGGAAAATAACGTTAAGTCTACGGTCAGGCTTTGAAGTTTGTCAATGCAAAGTTTAAATAAATTGTGTCTTACCTGTTCTTGTGGTTTTGGTTGATTCTTTCATTATCCTTTCGTGTCCTAGTGATGAAAATTGTTCGTGAAGGCCGGTGCATACAGCGATGCAAAGAAACCTTTGTATCTAGTCTTTCTGGACTTCACAAAGTTGGGCGATATGTTCGATAATGTTTCCAAAGGGATCGTTTCCGTAGTGCTGACGCCACATATATTCCTGTAGGTAGCCATCGAAAAGTCCTTTGGATGTTCCTGTTTGGGGCAAACCTCGCTTGATTCCCCACCATGTATTTTCGATACCCTTTGTGTGCGCACCGGTGAATTCCGGCGCATTGAAGCCATTCCCTCGCAACCCTTTTTTGAACATCGCCACTCGTACCCGTCTCGCGATGAAGCACGTCGCGTTCAGCTAAGTTCATTGCTGGGCCCAGCTCGAGGACATTTTACCGACGTCACAAGCAGGTTGTGATCCTTACACCACTGTATGCACCGGTCGTGATCCGATAATATTCGAGAAAGTCGAATAAAATTCAGTCTCCCCATCTCCGAGGTGTTGTTGTTCTTCTTCCTTCTATCTTCTTCTTTCGTTGATGTTATTAGAAAGAGGTATGAATAAATTTTGTTTTCTATGTGGTATTTGGCCAATCGTAGAGAAGAAGAAATGCATTCTTTAGTGCAAAGGGGACCTTTGGTGCATTATATCAATGCACATATTGTTATGAAAATTTTTTTACTGAAAGGTAAAAGAAAATGTAGCTTTTGGAAAGGAACTCCTAATTGGTTTGCGTAGCATAGTGGTAAGGCTATGGTTTCAGAATTGTCTGATTATAACGCGTTGTCTGAGGAGCGATGGTTCAAGGCTCAGCAGAACTGCCAAGAAGGTAAAAAGGAAAGGAAAGAAAAAAAAACCAAGGAGAAGTTAGGAATGAAGGGGAGAAAGGAGAAGAACGTGAGAAAGGAATGGAGACGAAAAAGCCGCTTTCAATCAATTTCTCTTTTATTGAAGCAGTAAGTACTTATTAGTAATGTATATATGCTAAACCCGTGGGAATAAGTCATTGTCTTAAAAACAATGGGGTGCATACTTAATTAATGAAATTGAATGCATAATTAATGTATGGAGTTATATGGTACTCTTTCCGCTCTGTTTCTTGATCAATATAGATCGTAAACAAAGGCGACAAGATAACACTGTCCTTATTGTTCTCCCGGTGGACTAATCCCGAAATGTTCATCTCAAGTCCAAACCATACCTGTTCTTAGCTGTCTTATAATTGAACTTCGTACATGTTATCCATTGAGAAGACCCTGTCGATATCTATAGAAATGTAGCCCAGTCATGCGCTTTTTTCCATTTGTTCTCTTCATTTTGATTTCATTAATTTCCATATCTTCTGTGACAAACATGTTGAAGTCATTAGACTTAGATCTTTTGAAGGACAGACGCAAAGCCCATCGTTTGAATATTTTTACGTCATGGCCGCCATGTGGTGGACGTAAACAATAGATATCTCATTAGCTCCTTTTGTTCGTCCACCAGCATTTGTTCCTTTCACCACTGTTACCTGTGTCTCTAGAGATTGGCTGCAAACCACCTATACCGAATTATTTTCTGCCCAAACAACGTGTAACTAGATTCTTCGCTAAAGATAAGTTTATTCCATCTAGTTGCAATCATGATTATTATCACTATAGTTTTTATCCAAGAACAATTGGGGATTGGAACGCTCTACCACAGGATATCCGAACTTGCATGACCGCCTCACTTTTTAAATCTCATTGTTTGGAAGCCTGTAGGTGTGACTGATACCAGCCATATTTATCTATTATAATATTTAATCATTAATTATCTATTTATCCCTTAAATTGTACACTTTTCATATTTATATATTTTTATTATTATGGATTTTATCATAGTAATTTTTAATTTGTATTTCATTTTATTTATATCGACTTGATGCGAAAGCGTTGTTGATCAATAAAAGTAGATGTAGATGTAGATGTAGGGGTGTTGCGTCAACCTTTACACCCTAACATCAGTATGCATATTTTCCATACTGTTCTCTATTCATTTCATGTTTAACAGAGGGTTAAGTTGATATGTTCCCCTTGTATCATGATTTCAATTCGACAGATGAACGCATGGATATATCAAATCCCGATCTACCGTTGTGAGTTGATAGGAAAACGTTTAGAGGTCAAGAAGAGGACTATGTGAGGAAAATAAGAGATGTTGGAATGTCGAAAGTATGGCTATATTAAGACAGTCATAAATTGCTCTACCTGCCCGTTACTTTACGAGGAAAAAAATTCCATACATTGAGTGACTGCCAAATAAATTGCCTTAGTTACTTCAAATCCACAATTTTGATGTTGTTGTTAGGATCCAATTTGCTTTGACCCTTACGCCTCACTTATGCGCAGATGGCAAGCAGGTTTTCCAAATACCCTCAGAAGATAACTTCTGAGGGTATTTAGGCTGAATTTTCTTGTTGCTTTCAAGAAATTCAACGACTGAATTAAGGTATTGAATCCTTCTCTTTTTAAGAACTCTGTCTCTAAGGGATGGAATTTATAAATGTTTAAAACTTTGTACATGGATCTTCAGTACGAAGCTGAAAATAATCGAGATTTTTTGGCTTATTACTTCAGTTACTGCTGGTTTCTTTGTCAACGAAAAATATCGACACCAGCCCAGCGTCTCAGTTTTGAGAGGAATATAGTTTTAGAAGAACCGATGGAAAGAAGGCAAAAAACGAAATTATTTTCAAGGGTCATTCTATAGGATCTCACTTCTTTTTGACATGTAAAGAATTCAGCTATGACCTAGAGATTTAAATTTAAAGAAAGTTGCAATAACCATCCTTATTATCTAAATGTGCTTCGTAGAGGACAAATAACGCGCGAGACGAGTACAAAATTAATGTCAAGCGATGTTTGTACTGAGAAATATCCGCGAAATTCGCCCGCACTGAAATAACAATTTGGCGTGTTGGATAATAAATCTCTTATTAAACGTTTTGTTGTGTAGCATGTACACAATAAAACGTCAAATAAGATATATTTATCTTATCCGCAATTTTCAGAAGGATAAATTCCAGGGCGAGCGTTTCCCACAAATTCTGCTCCTCGCCATTTAAACCGCAACTCAGACTGTTTTCCATGCATTCAATAGTGATTGATGGGGCCCACAAAAGACTTCGTAAAACATTGATGGTCATCGATTGTTGATTTTATTTCATCACTGGTGACAAGCTTGAGGTTATAAATCATTAATAATTTTTGTGCAGCCTGCTCCAGGCCCTCCGTTGACTAGGAGAGAAAAAACAAAAGTTAGAGGGCATAAATTGGTGGGAGCAACCGCAAGATGTCGTTCGCGATCACTATCGCTCGGCTCCAATGACAAAGAGCTTGGCGCAGGCTGCACCGGCCTTTACACGTTGTTTGGTTTACAGTGATCCTAACAACTGTCAACATCCTCAAACACCATTTATCTGAAAAGTGAGAAGAAATATACAGTTATTTTGACAAAATGCTTAAAAAGCGGTGACGTTGATACCATATGTTTCAAACATAACGTGATAATCGGCAGCCGAGCAAGGATATTAGATTTTTATTATATCACTTTTTTAAACCATACTCTTCACCAAATCATCGCGCTACATGGACTAGAACTTCAATAGTTTGGATCGTTAGCTTCACAGCATCGATGTAACTTACTTCCCTTTGCTTCTATACGCTTCATTGGAAGACAGAGAATAGCAGCAAACTGCCTTATCATCCATCGATGGAGGGTATTTTCACTACACACTTATGGAATTACACCATTTGCAAACAAAAAACTTTGCAAGCGCGCCAGAAGTCCCGAGGCGAAACTTACTATTTTTAAATAAAAAAGGGGCTGCTCTTGCATCTGATAATTATGTTTTCTTTCTGCTGACACAAAAGTGATCAAGACCAGAAAACCGACCTCCAGATCTGAACCAGTGAACGATTTTAAATCCACAGGGGTTTGAATTTGTTGTCATAAGTTTGTAGGACCACTTTCGCTGCTACTTACGAAAAAAAATCGTTTGCGCTGTTTTCAAATTGGACAGTATACATTGTTGTCCTGGCTAAACAAGATCGTAGTTTACTGGAATTTCAACGAAAACGATTAGGTTTAAGAAGGCTCGAAAGGGTTTTCCACAATTAACAGCAAGTGCCAATCAGTAAAATATATCAGGACTGTCAAACTTATCATCAGGATAATGACTTGACATATGCATAACACTATGTTAGGGCAATCTTTTAAGGGGGTTCGTCAGGCATTATCTGTTGCCATGGCAACAGTACATTAGTGCTAAAAGACCCTCTAAAACTCAGTTTTTGAAAGATATCTCAAAAACCAAGTCGGCGACCTAGTTTTTTTTTCAAATTTCTTAAACATCATCATATTATCTACCTGTATACGTGATATTAAAAAAACTATCTAGTAGAACTTGAATTATTTAGGAAAATGCTGTTTTAAAATGTAAAAAAAATTTCCACAAGATAAATTTTTTTTAAATTTTCTTCAGGAACGCGTAATGATGAAATTAATTTTTACACAAAAAATCAGGGTAGGTCACCGAACTAATTTTCGAGATATTAGTTCATCAACTTAGCAAGCTTTATTTCCGGTTTTTGCAATTTTAGCTCACACTTTTATATCCGGTCACGCGTTTTAAACGATACCGCTGACTCAAGGGCTCATTTTCGCGAGGATGAGTCCGTGTCCGCGCGATTAATCGACGGATGCCCTCAGCGCGGAAAAAATCGTTCATCCTGAAGATGGATTCACATTGTTTTGTGATTTTACACATTCCTGAAAAGTGA